GAACAATGGATAAGTCTCTCAAGTCAGTGTTTAACTAATTTTGTATTGCTCATTCCAGGGAATCCCCGTCCCTCTAGTTACCCTCAAAGAACATCAGATGCTTTCCTGAGGTCAGACTGCACCATGACCCCTGCATTTCCTGTATCCACTGGGCTTATTAGCCTGTTGAAGAAAAGAATTCGGCACATTTGCCCTATAGCACGGTTAGAGATGTTTTTACCTAAGGAAGGAGTGCTCTTAGTACTGCTATGGTCTGAAGGGCTTGTAGATCCTGTGTCTGTCTCTGTGTAAGAGGTTGTGCAGCTTTAGAGAAGAACAGAGAGCTTGATCTGTTAGTCACCAGCTGTAGTCAAGTAGAATCTTATAATTTAATCTTTGTATTATAGTAACACCCCAGGCTCAACACAGGATCGGGGTGCAGTTGTGCTGGGCACTGTGCAAACACATGACAATTTGGTCCATGCCCCAAAGAGTTTACCATCTAAGCAGACCAATGACATATGGGATGAGAGAGACAATTGAACTCTGATACCATTTGTACAGACATTGGCAATATTAGTATTATTATAAATATATAAAGTGACAACTCTCCCCAGCTGACCCTTGAGCCCTCATCAATGGTCTGAGCCCCCATGGCATCACAGCAGAGGAGAGATTCGACGGAGGGGAAGGGAGTAGCTTTGAGGATCAGATCAGGGAGGGTGGATGGTGATGAACTTTTTAGAGCTGAAGTGAGCGGGAGGATTAGTTACCTCCATTTCACTTCAGAATTTGTGAGCGTTAGACTAGATGACCCTTGTGGTCCCTTCTAACCCTGTGGTTCTATGAAGGCATGGTGGAAATGGGGATGAAGTTGGTGAGGGAGAGCAGGGAAAGGAATCAATTAAATAGGCTTTTGAGCAGATTACTGTGGAGCCTCAGGGTTCTCATCTGTGTGCAGAAGGCAGAGAAGAACCTCCACTTTCATTCTCCACTCCTCAGTGCTCCCCGACCAGGTGGAGAGCTCAGAAAATCACTGGGGCCAAGTGTGCTGTCACCTAGGCTAGTGTATGTTCAGCGAGCAGGCACGGAGATGGCTCTGGACTCACACCGTGGTGTAACCGAGAGCAGAATCTGCCTGTCAGCTATGCAAAGGACAGAGCTCACTCAAGCTTTTCATGCTTTGTCTCAGTTTTACTCTTGCTCATTGAATCTTTCAGGCCAGTTTATATACTTCCCCCTTCCCCCCCCTTCTGTCTCCTTGGTGGCTGGCTTGACTGTGAGATACACTTACCAGCTGTGGAAGTGGGGGCCCCTTTGGCACATTAGGAATCCAGGGCTCCACTCCGGGGAAAACAGCGGCCCATGGAGACAGAAGCATCACGGGGAGGGAGAGAGGCAGGCACTGGAAAAGATGGGTGCTTCAGTTGTTTGGACACTAGCCTGGGACTTAGAAGACTTGGATTCTGTTCCCTTCGTTGCCACAGGTTGCCTCTATGATGCTGGGTAAATCCCATAGGCCTACCTCTTCAAAAGTGATTGGGTGGGTGGGCCCCAATTTGTAGGAGCCCAACATAAGATGCTTTTTAAGGTCCTGATTTTGAAAGGGCTCAGCACTTTCTGAAAATCAGGCCACTTCCAGGTGCTTCTGGTTGAGCAAACGAAAAACAAGGCTTCCCACTAGCCACTTGGGAAGCTGTAGATCAGGGGTTCTCAAACTGGGGGTCAGGACCCCTAAGGGGGTCATGAGGTTATCACGAGCTGTCAGCCTCCACCCCAAACCCTGCTTTGCCTCCAGCATTTATAATGGTGTTAAATATATAAAAACATGTTTTTAATGTATAAGGGGGTCGCACTCAGAGGCTTGCTGTGTGAAAGGGGTCACCAGTACAGAAGTCTGAGAACCCTGCTGTAGGCCTTCGTCTTTCAGGGTACGTCTACACTGCAAAAAACCCTGTGGCAATGAGTCTCAGAGCCCGGGTCAACTGACTCAGGCTCGTGGGGATCACGTGATGGGGCTAAAAACAGCATGGGGACGTTCCCACTCAGGCTAGAGTCTGGGCTCTGAAACCCGGCTGGTGGCGGAGGTGGTCACAGAGCCTGAGCTCCAGCCCAAGCAAGAGCATCCACACTGCTGATTGTAGCCCCGTGAGCCCAAGTCGGTTGAGCTGGGTTTTGAGACTCGCTGCCATGGGTTTTTTTGCAGTGTAGACATTCAGTGCCTCCACTCCCTGTCTGTAAGCTGCACTGGCACTTCTCTACCACACCAGGGTGTTGGGAGGGTGAATACGTTAAAGACTGTAAGGTGCTCAGACGCTCTAATGGTGGGACCCATACAAATTAGCGAGGGCTTGTCTACACAAGGAAATTGACTGCCACAGCCATGGGGAATAATTATTCAGCTATAGCCATGCCAGTCAATATCCTTATGTAGACAAACCCATAAAGAGCGCCACACATTTGTTTTCATTCGCCGGTACCTGTCCATGAGAGGACGCATGTTGTGTCTATGAATGACCAAAGCAGGGAGTAACCACCTTGAGTTGTGCAGCCTTCTGTGCCAGCCACCAGCATGTGCTCTCTGCTGCCCTGTTGGTTTGCTTTGCTACTGGAAATAAAAAGTAATCTGCAAACCCAAAGCTCACAACATCGCTGCATTACTGACTAGTTTCCACCCAGGCGCTCAGGTTGGAACCCCACAGCTGTGACCTGCCTTGCTAGGGGGATTCTCAGCATGTCCCTAACTAAAGAAAGCAAAGGGAACTCAGTGCTCAGAAGTGTGGCCAGCTGCTGTTCTAGCATCCCCAGGGCTCTGCTAATGCAGCGCAGTCCTGAGCTGCATCACCGCCTGCTATTCCAGTCCTGACCCCCAATCAGCTCTGCCCATGCCCCTTAGGCTGGAGTTGCAGGATCCCCCTATCCATATGCACCCCTCCCATCCCAGCTCCCCCATTAATCTCAATGCTTCCCTGCTGCCTCTTCTATTCTAACCCTGGCCTGCCTGCTTTCTTCCCACTTTCTCTGCTACCCATTCAGGTAGCTTGACATTGCCCTGGGCCGACTGAGGGGGAGAGAATGGTGGGGAGAGATTTGGACAGACTGAGGAGTGGAGAAGAGTTTGGTGGGGGCGGGGAGGCAGACACTAATGGAAAGGAGGAAAAGAAGGGGAGGGGAGAGAGAGCAAATCAGAAAAGACAAATGGGCCCAGCTCATCCCAGTGTTTTGTCCCTCTGGGTCTGAAGGCATAAAAGGATCATAAAACTAGGTGATCCACCCTCTTGGTAATTCCTTTGGCTAAGGAGCCACCCCCTCAGGAGCCCCTACTGCAAGAGGTATTTGGGGGGCATCCTGGGGGGCATTGCTGCACGCCAGCTAATCCCAGCTGTCACAATAGCCCCTTGGGGGCCCTCAGGCTATGCCAAATGGCACCATGGACTGAAGTATCCCCTGGCCAGCCTGGGGTAGAGGAGATACAAAGGTGACACAAACACCCTGAGCCCTGCCGCAGCTCAGGGCTGGTGAAGGGATGGATGGGGGCCAATGGTGAATTTATGCTTTAATGGTGTTTTTAGTGCAAAACAACAAAACCAAGACACAATCAACCATCACAATGCAAAACGTTCCCATCTTAGGCTGGTAAAATGGCCCACATGTGAGCAAACAAGGAGTGCGGGGACTGCGTCCTTCCAGGGCATGTATCCCTACATGAGCTGCTGGTCAGGTATCCTTCATTGGCTCTGGCCCCTTCTACTACACCAGCGGTTATAGCAGGGAGTTGGGAGTCAGGACTCCTGTGTTCTATTCCTAGCTCTGGCAGGGAGTATGGTTTAATGGTTAGGGCAGGGGAGACTGGACACCAGGACTCCTGGGATCTAATCACAGCTCTGCAAGGGGCTGAAGTCTA